ATGTCTAGAACCACAACCGTACAGAGAGAAAAAATGGAAAGAGACAGATTTTAGTTCTACGCTGTTTAACTCCTAGTAAGTGAGAGTAGTACAGGCATCGATTTCTTGTAACAAAACTAAATATTGAGAAATATTTAGAACGCAGCCACATCGGAGGCCACGGATTGCACCTGGCTTGTCTTAAAGGCACCAGTGAGTGCAGACTTACCCGCCGAAGGTCAGAGCGACTACCTGCCCATGGTTGTCCTTGCCACCATCTAAGCAAGTGGGTTGTATAATGCCCAAAACCTTCCCACAGAAAAGATCGGACCTAAGGACAAATTCAATTCAGTGCTAAGCCTTATTGTCATTATTATACTCTGCCAAACAGCCACTTTTCCCAGAAGCCCCTGGGGCAGCGCAAGTCATCACGTAGGTCTTGGGGTCCCCAGCTATAAGGTGGGGCTGCCTCGCAGGCAGAGAGAGCTGGGACCCCGACACTGATGATCCCCATGGGTAAGGCACTGTGTAGAGTGAGTTATGCTGGGACCCCCACTTTTAAGAAAAACCTCTTATAACATCAGAACCGTTCTGTCTGAAAGGCCAGACCAGATGTTGGGGGCCTTGGACACGGGGAAGGCAGCCAGGAGCTGGCTTCTTTCGGCACATGGGGTGCTGTGTGCCCTCACAAGGAAAGGCCCTTTACTTTACCAGTCACTCCCCTGGGCCCCCTCTCAGATCTTTTCAGGGATCTGGACGTTCAACTGGGAATAAAGCTGGGAAGGGGAGGCCAGCTGCTCCCTCCTGAGCCAGCCCTCAGCAAGGACTCTGGTTTGACTTCCTAATTCAACAGCAGGGACTGGGGGCTGATGGGAAGTGGACAGACTTGGGGCCACAGAGAAAGATGGGGCTGCTCACACCAGGGCTGTTTGAGAGGCCGGAGGGCAGGCACCACCCCTGCAGAAGGAAAAGGATGGGCGAGGTCTGCAGAGGTTGGCGCCCAGGACCCTGGGACGGGCTCCTCCTGCCATGAGGCACAGCAGTGTCAGACTCAGACCCACAGAGCACAGCCTCGCTGCTTGGGGCTGGGAGCCGCCCTGTGACCGTCAGGAGGGACACGCCTGGTGTCTCTGGAAGGGCGGTGGCTGTCTAGGCAAAGGTTCCGGCACCTCTCGCCTCTCCTTTAGTGCCCGTCCTCTCCGCCTGGCCTCCCTGCCCGAATTCGGCCCAGACCCCTCCCAAGAGGCGCTCAGCAGGCCCTGTCCCCTCTGCTCCCTTCAAACCCGACCGCCATGTTTCTGGTCAGGGGCTGGCCTAGCCTAAGTGAGAGGAAACTGGGAATTTGGAATACTCTTTTATGCTAAGGCAGTGATTCCCAAAGTGGGCGCTACCGCCCCCTGGTGGGCGCTGCAGCGATCCAGGGGGGCGGTGATGGCCACAGGTGCATTTGTTTTAACTTTTTTTGTATTACCTTTCTATTCTGAGTTCAATAAATAGTTTCATAATTTCAAACTTCAATGTTTCTAACTTACACCTTTCTTTACTATATTTTACGAAACAGGCAGAAACATTAATACATATATCTTTCTGTTTAATTGCTATTAAAATTTAAAAAAAATTAATTTCCAGGGGGCGCTGAGTAATATTTTTTCTGGAAAGGGGGCGGTAGGCCAAATAAGTTTGGGAACCACTGTGCTAAGGTGTCAATGACTAATGATGGTTTCATGAAGTAGGTCTTCATTTTACTACAGAATTCCTTCAACTTCAAAGACCGAAGCTCAATTTTAAAGCAATTAAGAGCAAAACATGGATCTGAGAGGGAAGAACTTTTGAGGGGAGGCCTGTGGACCCCCGAGGCCCAGCATTGGGCGGCCTCAGCTCGCTCGGCCACGGGGTTGTGCTCAGAAGTCGGTCTGCACCTACCTGCTTGGAGCTCAACCTCGAGGAGGGTTTGCTCTGACGGTGGGTTTGTTCACCTAGTGTTAAGGGCATATTAAAGTGCACGCTTGACTTAACCACAGGCACAAGTGTCCGAAAAGCTAAAGCTCTGAGAAGATCTGGCGAGGAACAGGGACAGTAGAGATTAGACTGCCTTACAGCAGGCAGATGCATTCATTCCTGCATTCATTCATTCATTCATTCATACATTCAGCACGCAGTTATACAGCACCTGCTCAGTGCCAGGCACTTGTTGGTACTGAGGGTTCAATGGTGAATAAGGCACAGTCCCTGCCTGCCCCCAAGGAGCTGAGGGTCCAGTGGAGTTCCATGAACACTCCAGGTCCACAGACAAGAGCTTCGCTCTGCTGCTGCTCAGCGGCTGGCCGCGTCTGCGTCAGACCTCGGCCGTCCTCTCCAGGTGGTATGTGCGCAGAGGCCTGCACACCTGGAGCTGGTCCAGAGTTTGCCTGAAGGACGTCACGTGTCTGCGAGACACCTGCAGGCCCCTTCTTTCTTCTAGTCCCCGAGAAGCACTGCTCCTTCGTTCAGGCTCATCCACTGCCAGGGGCTTTTCCTTCAGCGACTGAATACAACCGTCTTCCTTTTCCTCTTGTCCGTAGGAAAAGGCGAACTGAAGCAGCAGAAAGATTATAAATGGGAAGAAAACAAATTACCATTCGGCACGCTCAACTCGAGTCTGCTCTTGGACTCCTGGTGCAAATTCTTCTTCATATTAGAATTAAGGCATCTGAGAGCTGCGGCTCTCGATTCTGCCCTGAAAAGCTCTGCCGCCAGCGGGCAGGTGCCCAGCCATCACAGCGGGGTCAGAGAAGTCGTCTGGGGCTGTGGTACCGTCGCTCGAGGCTGAGCCAACTCCCGGAGGCCTGGGGCCCCTACCTGCCGCCACACCAGCCGGTCCCTCCTCAGTGTTGACGTGGGTCAGTGGTCTGAGCACTGCTTGGTGCTCCTGGGCCTCCGCCCGTGACCTTTTTCCTTTTACACACGGACCGGCTGGGTGATGGTCACGGTGATGACCAGCTCGTTGGAAGTCCCGAATGAGCCTGCCGGCAACAGCGTCACCTGCGCCGCAGGCCCGAGAGGCAGGGCCTCGCTCTGTGGTCCAGGATGAGTCACTGTGTATGAGGTGGGACCTCATCACAAAGCTGGGAGCCGTGGAATTGGTTCTTTCCATGTCAGAAGCCCGGGATCACGAAAGCCCAGGGGTGCTGCGGGCTCCGTTCTGTTCCGTTTCACTTCAGCTGTTCAGATATAAATTAGACCACCCCATCCCCTTCCATTCACAGTCGGTCGGCTCGAAACGTCTCTTCAACAGAGGGGTCAAGCAGGCCCATGCTGGAGTCACTTAACATGTTGAGTCCATCCAGGCTCAGCGGCTCAATTTGGAGCTCTTCTTCCAACGGGAATGAAGTGTCCATGTTCAGACTGACCTCGGGCATGCCCTCCAGCTCACTGCCGAGGTCTCTGAACAGGCCAGAATTCGAGTCCTCTGGAAGAAAGAGCAAGAGGGAACGACAGGGCGGATTAGGAGGCGTGAGGGCAACAAACTGATGATACCCCCAAAACGCTACCCTGTCATCCTCCCAGCCAGGAAGGACAGTGATCGCTGTGTCCCAGCCACTTCCAGGCCTAGTTTGTTCTGGAATCTACGTTTTTCCCAGTCAGTTCTGTAACTCCCCCCCACACCCTGCCACTTTTTTTAAGGTGACTGCTCTTTATTTTTTTGTTTGTTGATTTTTTTTTATTTTTTAAATATATTTTTATTGATTTCAGAGAGGAAGAGAGAGGGAGAGAGAGCTAGAAACATCAATGATGAGAGAGAATCATGGATCAGCTGCCTCCTGCACGCCCCACACTGGGGATCGAGCCCGCAACCCGGGCATGTGCCCTGACCGGGAATCGAATAGTGACCTCCTGGTTCATAGGTCGATGCTCAACCACTGAGCCACGCTGGCTGGGCTGATTGTTTTTTTTTTAATCCTCACTCAAGGATATTTTTCCACTGATTTTTAAGGAAGTGGAAAAGAGAGGGAAAGACAGAGAGAAACATCGACGAGAGAGAAACACATCGATTGGTTGCCTCCTGCACGAGTCCCGACCAGGGCCCGGTCCAGGGAGGAGCCTGCAACCAGGGTATGTGCCCTTGACCAGAATCGAACCCGGGACCCTTTGGTCCATAGGCTGATGCTCTATCCACTGAGCCAAACCAGCCAGGGCACGCAACTCCCAATTTTGCAGGCTTTCTCCGTTTGTACAGTGGCCAATCACGGAAAACTAAGTATTTCAGAAAAGACTCACTGCCTCGGTCTCTGGGCTGGACACCTGCGCTCACACAGGAAAAGCCGAGCTGGGACTGTCCTGTTGTGCTTTATCTAATGTTGTTGCCGCTTACACGACCTTGCAATGGAATCTGTACCGACACAGCAAAATCGAAACAGCGTGGAAGCGGCGGGTGGCCCACACTCACCTGTCAGGAGGCTGTTGGGGAAATTCCCGCAGTTGGAATACAGGTTTGGTCTCAAATGAAACGAGTCCTGTGGCTCCTGGGGACCGTGCTGCACCAGGGGCACCTGGAAGATCAAAGGTCACAATGTGAGGAACGACCTCTGCTGCCGAGGAGTGAGAAACACCACGGCTCCCGGGGCAGCCCAGAGGGAACGGCTCTTCCAGTCCCTTCCCTGTGGGAACTGAGTGCCTGGCCGTCGTGCTGCCCGCCATGCAGGCAGGGCCTAGCGTGGAGCAGGGCCCCTGAGGTCCGCAGTAGGGACCTGTCCCCATCACGCACGGCCCGGCCCTCTCCGCCATCCCAGGAGACGCCCAACTGTGGCTTCTGTGCCCTCTGGCCTCTGACCCCTGCCCCTCCTCAGTCACACGGAGGCTCGTGGGAACTGCCATCTGCGGGAGGCCTGTCAAGGCTCCCCAAGGAGCTGATGTAGCCAATAGGTTCCTTTCCTCTTTGGTTTCCAGAAAAACGAGAAAACAGAAGCCCTTTCTTCTCACTCGGAGGGAGGCCTCGCTATGAGAAAACCGCTAAGAAGAGAGGTCAGAACCGAGGCCTCTCCCAGGTGCCTTCCCAGAAATTAAGTTTCCAAACTATTTTTAAACTCTTTCAAAAGTAGGAGTTTCCATCATTTGTCTGGGAGACACTGACCATGAGACGAACATGGCTTCTCCAAAGGGAGGCAGCCCATGGTTCCCACCACGAGGCTTTCCCACGCCTCCTCGGGAAACGTGTCTGTCTGTATTTCACTGTTGTCGAGTGCTGGAAAGGCTCCTCTGTCCTTACTCCATCCCAGAGACCAGCCCACACTTTCTACACATTCTAAAACCTCGGGATGTTAAAAATGGTCAGTGTGCCCAGCGGTGTGGCTCAGTGGTTGAGTGTCGATCTATGAACCAGGAGGTCACAGCTGGATTCCAGGTCAGGGCACATGCCCGGGTTTTGGGCTCCATCCCCAGTAGGGGGCGTACAGGAGGCAGCTGAACTATGATTCTCTCTCATCATTGATGTTTCTATCTCTCTCTCCCTTCCTCTCTGAAATCAATACAAATAATTTTTAAAAATTTTTTTTAGCCCTAGCCAGTTTGGCTCAGTGGATAGAGCGTCGGCCTGCGGACTGAAGGGTCCCAGGTTCGATTCCGGCCAAGGGCACATGCCTGGGTTGCGGGCTCGATCCCCAGTAGGGGGTGTGCAGGAGGCAGCCGATCAATGATTCTCTCTCATCATTGATGTTTCTATCTCGCTCTCTGCAATCAATAAAGAAATATATTTAAAAAAAAATTTTTTTAAAGGCCAGTGTTATGGAAAGATTGCAGAGCAAAGCAAACGGCTGGCTGGCACTATCCTGGAAAGGACTGCCCCGCCAGGACCCAGCCCCCCGGGAGGCCGCCCCCACACTGCGCTGGGCTCAGCAAGAAGGCCTCAGGCTAAGCCCCTCTCTGGTCTTAGTCTCCAAACATGACCGGTCAGTGGGCTGCTGTGGCCCCTGCCAGCATGAACGATGCTACCGTTCTGACTAGAGAGCCACCACAACCCGCCATCACGTGTTCACACAGTTCCTCTGCTGAGGCTCACAGTTTCTTCGGGGCCAGGGGAGATCCTGGTTCTGCCGGGCGCCCAGCACAGCTGAATCAGAGACGGGAGTGAGCCTGGTCCGCCTGGTGTGGGTCCCGCACACTGAGCAGTTCCTGCTCTGAGAAGAGGCAGGCCCCGGGCGATCGCTCACCTGCTGAGTAAAAGCTGGGCCCGGCCTCATGGACTGCTGGTCAAAGCTCACGTCTGGGAAGAAGCTGGTCAAAGACGAGCCCTTCAGGGAATAAGGAGGGGCGTTTAGTTGGAAGTCAGGGCGAAATAAGCCTTCCCTCCTGCCCGGTGCTCCCGCCGGGACTCACCTGGCCTGTGAGGAGCTGGAAGTCTGGCTGCGGCAGGGACGGGGCTGCCTGTGGCTGCTGTGGGGGCTCCGGGGCGTGGGGCTGCTGCAGGAGACGCTGGGGGAGCTCCTGGGGTGTGGGGTACGGGGGAGGTGGGGACAGTTGAGCTTGGGCGTCTGTGGGCAGGAAGGTAAGCGGGCTCCCATCGGAGGGCACCATCTGGAAAACAAAGTCACTGAGTAGCGGAGCTTCCAAGTTCCTCGTCTGAGTCCTTGAAGATGAGGAGGCGTCACGGTGAGGAAAGACCTTCTCCTGGGCAGTCTGTACTGGGCTGAGAAGCTAGTTCTGCTCCTTCAAAGGGTATCTCGACTCTCACTTCCCCACAAAGCATTTCCCACTCCATGACAATTTCTATTGTCCAGAAAAACAAAAAACCCAGCCAATTTACCAGTTTCCTCTCAGTTTTCTCAGTAAAAGCCATGTTGCTGGGTTTTTTTGTTTGTTTTTTAATATATTTTTATTGGCTTCAGAGAGGAAGGGAGAGGGAGAGAGAGACAGAAACATCAATGATGAGAGAGAATCATCGATTGGCTGCCTCCTGCAGGCCTCCTACTGGGGACTAAGCCCGCAACCCAGGCATGTGCCCTTGACCGGAATCGAACCTGGGACCCTTCAGTCCACAGGCCGACGCTCTATCCACTGAGCCACACCAGCTAGGGCCATGTTGTTGTTTTTTAAGCCATAACTTCTGATTAAAGATGGGAGATTTAAAAAAAGCATTTAACTCTACAGTCTCCCAAAACTCTACTGAAACACTAAAACAACATTAAGCAACGCTAAACATTCGTAAACAACGCTAAAACAATAACAACAACATAACCAACAACACGAGGACAAAGATACCAGGAAAGAAGGAAACCCAACACGGTTTGGAAAATGAAAAGCAGATGGTGAAGAAGCGACTGGCTTGGTGGAGCTGGGAAGGCCACTGCTACGCCGGCAGTGAGAAAGCAACACGCAATCTGACTTACACTCAGGATCCCCAGGCAGTGGGAACGGGGGCAGTGCTGGAGCCAGGAGGATCTTGTCACAGTTCAGGTGAGAAGCAGGCGGGCTTCTGAGCCCTGGCCTGCAGGAGAGGGGAGGGCTCTACTCTCGAGAGAGGACAACAAAAGCTCTCTGGGCAGGGCTTACCGACTGCACCCGGTGAGGCGCTTTCCTGAAAACACCGTTTATGAGAAAGCTCGCTATTAAACTTGAGCCCTCCACTCTTTGTTCCCAACTCGGTTCTCAGGTCAAGAAACCATCAAAGAAATAATTAAAGAAAATTTCCACCCTGACTGGTTGCTCAATGGTTAGAGCATCGGCCCACGGACCAAAGGGTCCAGGTTCAATTCCCAGTCAAGGGCATGTACCTGGGCTGCAAGCCTGATCCTGGCTTGGGTCCCGGCATGTGCAGGAGGCAGCCAATGGGTAGGTGTCTCTCACATCGATGTTTCTCTCTCTCTCTCTCTCTCTCTCCCTCCCTCCCTCCCTCCCTCACCTCTCCCTTCCACTCTCTCTAAAATGAAAGGGGAAAAATATATGCTCAGTGAAGATTAACCAAAAAAGAAAAAGAAAATTTCCCAGAAAAGAAGGATGAGTTTTCAGGTTGAAGAAAACCACCAAATATCCAGACTCATGTCAAACAAGCCACGTTATTCTGAAATTTCAGAAAACTGGGGACAAAAAGAAGATCCTATAAGCTTCCAGAGAAAAAAAGAGAAGGGAGATTTCATTCAAAGTTTTATGAATCAGAATAAAAGTGGATTTCTCTAGAAACTAAATTGACAATAGATTCAGTCAGTTATCAATGAAATGGTGGATAGGATAAAGACATTTAAATCATGTCGTGCACTCTATTTTGTAAAGCTACTGGAGTTTTTGTTTTTATTTTTTTAAATATATTTTTATTGATTTCAGAGAGGAAAGCAGAGGGAGAGAGAGATAGAAACATCAATAATGAGAAAGAATTATTTATTGGCTGCCTCCTGCATGCCCCACACTGGGGATCTAGCCCATAACCCGGGCATGTGCCCTGACCGGGAATCCAACCTTGACCTCCTGGTTCACAGGATGACACTCAACCACTGAGCCACACCGGCTGGGCTGGAGGATTTGTTTTTAGCTGTATTAAGAAGAGACCTACCCAATTCCAAGCGTTTGGGATTGAATTAGGAATATATACATAGAACCAAACTAACAAAGGAAGATATTTATTAAAACCCAGGAGGAAAAAAAAATGGTCCTTTGTTATTTCATAGTGTACTATATAGTTAAACTCGGACTACATTATTATAACTATGAAAACCGGTTTGGCTCAGTGGATAGAGCGTCGGCCTGCGGACTGAAAGGTCCCGGGTTCGATTCCGGTCAAGGGCATGTACCTGTGGTTGCGGGCACATCCCCCGTAGGAGATGTGCAGGAGGCAGCTGATCGATGTTTCTCTCTCATCGATGTTTCTAACTCTCTATCTCTCTCTCCCTTCCTCTCTGTAAAAAATCAATAAAATATATTAAAAAAAAAAAACATTACACACTGAGTACTGCTCTAATCAAAATCAAAATAAACCACATGGTGGAGGAGGAGGAGGAGGAGGAGGAGGAGGAGGAAATATGTGTGTATGCGTGTGGGAGGACTGGGAGAGCTGAAGGAGAACAAAGCAATAATCTTCCGTGGTAGAATGTCACTAGATAACACCTAACACTAACATTGTAGGACGAAATAAGCTTGAAAAAATGTGGTTAAACCAAAGAGATGAGCTAAAGTGGTTGAACGCAGTCATCTCCAGGGAGAGAGAAATATGGGGGAAGGGAAACAACTCTAATTCAGAACAAGTCCCTTAGAACTCTTTGACTTTTTAAATTATAAGCATGAACAACATCGATTAAAAAATAACTAAATATAAAGCGAATTTAAAAATGGAAACATCTGAAAAAAGATGCTCTCTATCCATATAGTCTTCTTAAAATGTATCTAGGAAGCCTGAGTAATATTTTTCAGAGCCTGTCAAATAATTTTGCAAAATAAAATTAATAACATAAAAAGAACCATTAAAAAACAATTATGAAATACCCTCTCCCCAAAGGGATTACTCATATAATCAAGATCCCGTAGCTGGTAATTGGTACAGAATGACTAATAACTGGATTGCCAATCCTTCCATTGTGTGCGGTCCACTCCCCCTCGCCTAGTCATTACTCATTTTTGGAGAAGTGGTTAGTGAATGATGTTATAATGTATCTAGGGAGTGACCAACAGGTTAAAAATATATTCATTGATGATTCTGGTAAGGAAACCACCCTTAGAGCTTAGGATAAAAACAGTCAGCCAGTGAAAACATGAGTTTCTGTGACAGGCTTCGGACTTCAGCCTGCTCCTAACCAGGCTTCTTTGGGTCTTTCATGGCGACATGACCCTTATTACACCTACTCTTTCATGAGCAATACAAGTCCTGTTTCTCACTCTGCAGTCACAGTTAGGGACGAGGTCCACTAGCAAAGCTTTAGGGAGATAGTCACGGTCTTCTTTGGCTTTTCCTTGTGGTTTAAAGTACGTAGAGAGCTGTCTGGCCTGCATGGCTCAGTGGTTGAGCGTTGACCATGAACCAGGAGGTCCCGGGTTTGATTCCCATTCAGGGCACATGCCCGGTTGTGGGCTCGATCCCCAGTTTGGGACATGCAGTAGGCAACCAATCAATGATTCTCTCTCATCACCGATGTCTCTATCTCTCTCTCCCTCTCTCTCTCTGAAATCAATAGGAATATTTTAAAAAATAAATAAAGTACATAGAGAGCCCATGATTGACTTGCCACACCTGCTTCTCTGAGCTAAGGTAGGCAGACCTGGGTTGCATCCTCTATATCTTACCACCAGGGGTCCTCGAACTTTTTAAACAGGGAGCCAGTTCACTGTCCCTCAGACAGTTGGAGGGCCGGACTATAGTTTAAAAAAAAACTATGAACAAATTCCTATGCACACTGCACATATCTTATTTTGAAGTAAAAAAACAAAATGGGAACAAATACAATATTTGTATTTGCATGTGGCCCGCGGGCCGTAGTTTGAGGACCCCTGCCTTACCACTTTCCCCCAACCCCAACTTTGAGAGTTACAGCGCCTGCAAACTGTTCAATGTTTGCTTAAGAATAATCAACACAGGCCTGCTCTTGGGAAATCATTAATGCATTCTGAACTATTCACATTTCCGCTCTGATTTCACATATAAGTGACCTCATGGACAACACTGGGTGTAATGGACTCAGTCCAAAATTAGAGAGAAGGAAATCGATTCCTCCATCTTCAGTCTCTTTCGCCGAAGCGATGTTTACCTGCGAGGCAGGATAGGGGTTCATTGGGCTGGTGGAAGAGAGCTGTCTGCAGAAACCCTGATGTGCTTCGGGGCCCGGAGAGAGCGTGAGAGGGCTGACGGGAGGCTGCCTGCGCCGAGAGGGGCCGCTCAGGTTTGTGGTGGGGAGAGAGGGGTTGCTGAGGGAGAAGAGGCGCAGTGAAGGGTGAAGCGTAGAGGCGCTGGGCGAGGTCTGCGGGTGGCTGTTCAGGGAAGAGGAAAGCGCTGTCTTGCTGAGTGTGGCCTGGAGGGAGGGGTTACTCCGGGAGCTCTGGAGACCTAGGAGAGAACAAATTCCAAGTTACTTGTCATAATTTCAGACCAAATCGCTCGTTTTCCAAGATTAAAGAAAACATCATTTCCTACGACGTGATGAGGATTCTGTGTGGAGGAGCTCCTGGGAGACTCCGACTGAACGTATATCAGATGTACCAGTGGCACGGAAACCCCCACCAGGGAACGGTTTTCTTGAGAGGTAGGTGATCGTGTAACGGATGGGGGTGGGGGTTGGGGGGGCAGGACCAGGTAAGAGTGGGTAGTGGAGGCCAATGTGCAATGTGCTTAGCTCCAGCCCAGGGAGAGGAGCCAGGGCTGTACCACAAACTCAGTTCATTTTATTTTCTTAATCCTCACCGGAGGATATTTTTCCATTGATTTTTAGAGAAAGTGGGAGAGAGAGGGAAAGACAGAAACATTGATGTGAGAGAGACACATCGATTGGTTGCTTCCTGCACACCCCCAAACAGGGCCGGGGCCTGGAAGGAGCCTGCAACCGAGGTATGTGCCCTTGACCGGACTCAAACCTGGGACCCTTCAGTCCATAGGCTGACGTTCTATCCACTGAGCAACACCGGCCAGGGCCACAAACCCAGTTCAGAGCCCCGCGTGCCTCGGTCCCAGGCATAATGCCGAACCCTCTGCTGCTTCGGAGAGCTTGCTTCCTTGGAGGCGTGGCTCTCAGGGAGCTGCCTGTGTGGCCCGTCAACATCCTGAGCAACCAGAGGGTCACGGGAAGAGACACCCTCCATGTCTCCTGCCCCTCGGTGCCTTTCTCTTTGTTTTCCTGGCTCCCAAGAAACTGTTCATCACAGTCTATTCCGATTCAGGGGAAAGGAAGCTTTTGCTGGTGCTTAGTGTTGTTTTGGAGGGAGGGTGGTAAGTTTTAGCATGAGCAAGAGCGTTTGGGGAAGGCATCTGCATGACACAGGGAGCTGGGGCACAAGTTGGAGGCGGCCAGGGGCACTGTCCTGTGCCCTGTTGGGTCCTGGCGCCTGACAGAGTGGCTTCACTCCGTGAATGATGCTGCTGTTGGTATCTTAACTGGCAACACCCATGTTTCACAGCTCAGCCCATCA